TCACCTCTGCATTGTGTAAGGCCATAAATCTTGTTAGCACCTTTACCTGCTGCGGTCGTGTAGAAGCCATCTTGGATAGGCGCATTAGCAACAAGTGAATTCTGCAGCTCGCTCAGATTGGCTTGGTGATCACTGCTATTGTTAGCATTATCAACTTCAGTACATTGCGAACCGAGATCGGAATAACTGTCAGCATGGCAAGGGCTAGATAACAGCAGAAAAGTTGAAAATATAATGAATATTAACAATTCATACTTTTAGTCCAAGGGAAACGAAGGGCAGAGGTCATGAAAGCGATATGTTCTCTATTTATGCTCATATCATAATCAAAACTATCAAATCGTTGCGTATGTGGAATGTAATCGTGCCGTGTAGAATTTCTTTAGCACTACAAAATTGAAGACAATGAAACCAGCTGTACTTGTTCATAGATCGTAAATGCATTATTATATATTTGTTTAGCACTACAAAATTGAAGCCAATGAAACCTAGGTGTACTTGTTCTTATCATATTTGCTTAGCAATAGAAAATGGATGTGGATGAAATCATTTTCTTAATTAAGCTCCATACGGAAATGCCTAGCAATATAATTAATTTTAATATGATATCAAAATTTCATTAGTTTTAATGGCCAAGCAAATATTCTGAAGCCCTAGTCACTAGACAGAGGCCAAGACACGGGCTACAAGTGAGGAGCATTGATGAACATATAAATATGAGATACAATAGAGCCATCCACCATAAAACTTAGAGTCTTAATGATGTGAAGTGTCTTGATAATGTGCTTATGAAAGACCTAACATATAAATTTGAGAAAGAGTCATCCATCAACTATTCACATAAACATATGAAAGACCTAACGCATAATGACGTGAAGTGTCTTGATAATGTGCTTATGAACTGGATAGACAAAGTAAAGCTCAATAAAAAGTTTAAATGTGTCAAATATTTAGTCTAATAAAAATAGTAATAATTTTCTATTCCACTGGTGAATTATGCTTAAGTTTTTCCAGGAGATACAATAGACCCAGTTTTCTTGTTTTTATATTTAATTATTTTTCCGAGTGAGTTTCGGTTTTTTTTTTTTTTTCTCTATATAAGCTATGCCAGTTTTTTTCCTGCTATATAGATAGTTGGTGTGTTATTTTTCAGAGAATTTCAAAATTCATGAATTATTGACTTTCAAAATAAACTAGTAGTTTTCTCTATAATTTAGAATTGTGATCTTAAATAATAATTGATTATTATCTTAAAGTATTAAAAACAAAGATAACTAGAATAAATACTTGTTAAGTTGTGTTTAGTTGTGGAGATAAAGGTTTTTTAATCTCTCTTAGAAAGTTTTTAGCTATTTTTGTGTCCCCATGGAAAAAGAGATAAAATCAAGGCTATGTTTGTGTTTGTTTTATAAAAAGTTGTTTTTGAAAAAATATTTTCTAAAATTTTTTGTATTTATTTATTATTAGAAAAATTAGTTAATGAAAAATATTTTTTAGTCCAATAAAAATTTGAATTGGTTTTTAGGAAAGTATTTTCATTTTATTTTGCGTTGAAAACACTTTTTAAAATTTATAACAAATTTAGAAATATTATATTATATGCTCATTATATCAAATTTGATCTTCAAACTTTTGATTGTAATATATTTTGTTTTGATTTGTTTTCAATTTCATCCTTTAAAATTTAATTTAATTTGATTTTTATATTAACTTAGGTCTTTATTTTATGATTGTTATTTTTTTTCTCTTATCATTTTTTTAATTAAAATTTTTTATCTATCAAATTTGTCTTCATTTTTTTATTTAAAATAATTTATGAAATTTTAATTATTATTATTTTAATTTCACCATCTTTCAATTTTTTTCATTTGTTAGATTTAATCTCTATTATTTTGATTATTTTTCATTTTATTTGAGACAATTTATAAAATTAAATGTCTTTTAATTTCATTCTTATTCAATTTTTTAAATTGTGATATTTATTCCTTGTTATTTTAATAAACTTTAAAAGAAAAAAAATATTAATAAGTTATTTTCCAGTTTATTTTTCATGACATAACCAAATACTCCAAAATATTTTCTAACTTATTTTTCATGACATTGTCAATTATCGAAAAATAATTTACTTTACAGGAATTAACTTTCCAAGAAAACAACTTTCCAAAAGTAAACTATTTTCTAGCAAACAAATGGGGTCCAAGTTAATTTTTTATTTTTCTATAAATATCTCTTTAATCATTTTATAATTTTGATCTATTTTTTATTTTACTAATTTTCAACTATGTTTTATAACACACACAAAATTTTGTTTGTGTAATTTTTCAGAAATACTTTTTTTTATACAATTTAATAATTTATAATAATTGAAAAATGAATGAATTAGAGTAAATATTTTTTTATGAATTGAATAATTAATTAACTAAAGATTATTTTTTATTAAAATGTATATAAATATTTCTTATTTGTTTTTAAAAAACGAGTGAGAATTTTCATATTATGAAAGAACATAAATATCATTATTGGTAATGTTTTTTTAAAAAATGGATTTAATGATTGTTTAAAACATTATTTAATTATATTATCTTCTTAGAAATGAATTTTTATTATGATTAAAAATCCATTTTAAAAATTGATTTTGATGAGTAGAGAAACTACCTTTTAAAATTAAGAAATCACATTTCCATCCTTTTTCCTTTAAACAAGCCTAATTAATCCATCTGGTTCTAGTCCCATTTGTGTGGTGAATATATTTAAAGAAAAACTAATCACCTAGGATGAATAGATTTGGAATTCTGTCATAAAAGGGCCAACCCAAAAATATCAATTTTCCTAAACATGTATGCAAATGTATAAAATGGCCTCAAATCTTATTAGTTGGGTCCAAGCTCCGAAAAGGTCTTTATGCCTTTAGCCCAAGGATAATGCATAAAAAGGCCTCAAATCTTATTACAAAACAATTACTCATCAATTCATCAGACCTCCGATCCAGCATAATCCACAAATTTAACTAAAGTCATAGACATAAATGGTCAAAATTAATGTAATGCATCTAACCAAATAAATGGTCTCGAAAACAATCCTCAGGCCCTCTGAAAGCATCCTCCGATCATGGAACCTCTTACACGACCAAACTCAAGAATGCATACATAAACAAAAGAAACATAATTAACGCCAAAACTCATATTTACTTGTAAAAGGTCAAGTCATTCTATAAAAAGCTTAAAACACGCATAAACAAGAAACAAGAACAAATAAATTAACCTTCATTAGAATATTGATGTCCTTAAGTCGCCCTAGACTGTGAAACGCACAATAATGTAAAGCAAGAGAAAGAAGATACACACACAAAGCATAAACTTGGACGAAGGGAATACTTTTCAAGCCAAAGCACAAAAACGAGCACAAAGTAATTTTACAGATCAAATAAATATGCATATTTGTGTGAATTTAGGCTTGAAAACCAAATCATAAATATTTAAATATATGATAAAAGTATGATATTAATAAAAATACGTATAACTATTAAGCTTTTCCAATAAAAAAAATTTAAATCTAAACAATTATTAAAAACAAACAATCTTGAAAACACAAAAGAAACATTCAAAACTTGGTTTAAAGGTTAGAAATTAAGCCGCATGGGCGAGAAAAGCATATGATAATTCAAAAATTCCAAGATTGAGTTTAATCATATAAAGTATTTTGACGTGATCAAGTTAATTTGATTAATTTAACAACAATTTTAATGATTGTTAAAATATTTTAAGTATGAAATTAAAAAAAATAGATAATTTTTTTTTTTAAAAGATGAAAATAAAAATAAAAAGGGAGAGAAAATGTATTGAGAAAATGAATAAATAAAATGTTTTACCATAGTAAAGCTCCATGATCTTTTTCAGGTATTTTAGTGAGAAAATGAATAAATAAAATGTTTTACTTTTCATAGTAAAGCTCCATGATCTTTTTGAGGTATTTTGGTTTTATTAGGTAATGAATATTGAATTTGTTTTTCTTTTAATATCTACCATATCACCATATCATATCAAATATAGTTTTTAGATACATGTTGTTATATAAAAAAAATGCTAAAGGAAAAAATTAAATGAATTAATTAATTAACAATAAAATCTCTAATTATTGGATAGCAAATTTTGGCAGCCTTGCATAGGTAGAAACGAATTCAGGAGGCAATAGTCTATGCGAGTCGTTGAGCTTGCGACTTGGCCTGGACTTGGGGGCTTAGGTGATGGACCTTCTAAGTCAGCAGCTGACGCAGCAGAAATAAAAAATAGCTTGTATATAAGCTGTGCACCTTTTATAGTCTAAAATATAACTGATGGTATTTTCAATTGATGATGTTTGTTTCAAGTTTTTATATTTCCTTACAAATATAAACTCTCTTAACTTATAAAAAACATTAGAAAATAAATTATAAAATTTAATTTTTAATTAATTTAAATATTAACAAGTAAAATTAAAAAAATAATCAATTAAAAAACCTGAAAAAATCCTGAGTTACTGGATTAATATGTAAAACTAATCACTCGAGTGATAATACTGATATAATTTTATAAGAAGTAAATTGAAATAATCTATAAAGATTAATCTCTAAAATTTAATATTAAAAAAAAATATTATTTCAATAAATAGCAATTTACGATGAGCCAACAATGATTTCCCCTCCTTAATTAATCCTATTTTTTATTTTTTATTTTTTAATTATTTTATTTTATTTTTTGAATTATCAAACACGAGCGAAAAGGGGAGGCAAGGCTAAGTTTAGTTGGGACTAGACTGCCATATTGGGTTGAATTTCATTGTGAAAAATTTAACCCCGTGACACTTCTCCTCTTTCACAACCTCTTGTCTTTAACGCCGCTGCAATATCATGTTGCGAAGAAACTTTCAACAAGGAGAAAAGTCACCAACATGCTGCTATACGTATTTAGTCAGAATTTCGAAACTCTTTCAGGCCGGCAGCTGTCAAGCGTAGTTGTATCTACCTTTCGCAATATTACTAATAACTGATGATGTTTCATTTCTAACCTCCATGGCCGAATCTAAAAAAAATAAAAAAAAATCTTGTCTTTACTTCATCAAATACATTCCATAACCATATCCTCGCCTCACCATTTTCTCTCAAGTTAATCCTGATGAAAATTATGTTTCTTCGACTCAATCCCACATCCTATCTTTCAGTTCTGATCACAATTATTACCCTTATTAGCTCAATTGCTAGCCAACCAGCTTACACTTACCCTTTCTGTCCAGATCCTCAAAATATCACAGAAAACGCTAGTTACACTTCAAACCTTAGCGCCCTCTTGAGTTCTTTATCCTCCAAGGCCTCCCTGAAGAGCTTCTATGCAGACAGTTCTAATGGTATTTACAGTCTCTACCTTTGCAGGGGCGATGTTTCAAGCAATACCTGTCAAACCTGCATTAACAATGCTACTCGAGAAATCCAACGGCGATGTGCTTCTAATGGAACTGCAATCATTTGGTACGATGAGTGCATGCTACGTTACTCGAATAAAAACTTTCATGGAGTTTATCAGACTTATCCAAGATTGTTCATGTGGAATAACGAGAATACTACAACACCAGATGAACAGAATTTTGGTGCGCTCAGATTGATATACACGCTGATAGAATATGTTCCATATACAGATATGATGTTCGGGACTAATCAATCAGCGAGTCATGATGGGTCTCAAAATAGATATGCTTTGACGCAGTGTAGTAGAGATATAAATAGTAGTGATTGTAGTTCTTGTTTGGGAATCTTAAGAGATGCTGTGACACAGTGTTGCCAAGCTAAGAAAGGCTGGCGTATTTTCGCCTCAAGTTGTAGTTTAAGGTATGAGGAATATCAATTCTATCAGCTGCCATCAGTGCCATCAACGCCGGTACCGGTTCCTTCTACCCAAGTGCCAGAGCCAGTGCCCGGTGAGTCAAATACGGAAACTTGGTTGTTAAGAAATTAGATTGCTGGTCCATTCATGTGTTGTGAAAGTTTGAAAGTTTTTTTTTCTCGTTTGAACTGTATTACACTTACCCTGGTTTAAATAGATTTAGGTGAATAGGTAGTTTAGGCTATTTTTCTCTCTGTTTGTTTCAAAGTTAGCAGGCGAGCTTTGGACATAAGCATCACCAAGGAGTTATAACTAATCCACTGAATTATTATGTACAATGAAATGGATAGATCTTTTAAAGAAGGAAGACTAAATTCTTCCTGAGTGGTTTCAAAAAATCTAATGATGTTATGCTATGATAGTTTACCGTTTAAGAAGCTGCATACTTTTGTTGGAAGAAGGATGGGTGTTGTAGAAAATTTGAAAGAAATGATAGGTGTGGTAGAAGATAAAAAATAATAATACAAAATAAAACACTCAATAATAAGATTATTGAGAGGAAGGTATCCTTTTATTTAGTATTTCTCTTTAAGTTTTTTTAGCTATTTTCTTTTTTATGTATTTCTAATAATATTGAATTACAAGTCTTTTTATGAGTATAGAGCCCTAAATAATTAAGGAATTACTTTAATTAATATAAACAAAATTCTAATTTGAATAGAAATTGTATTATATCGACTAAATCGATTCACTGTTTTAATTTATTCTACCTGGTTGCTCTATCTCAACTAGTTGACCGTTTATAATCGGTCGATCAATTCAACCAATTTCAAGAAATCAATTTACTTTTAACATCCCCCTTAAATTTAATTTCTTCATAACTCCTAACACATCTCTTATCTTAATTAAAATATCATATTTGAGTGGCTTTATGAATATATCTGCAACTTGGTCTTGTATTTTTGCATACTTGACTTCAACATTCTTGTTTGCAATGCAATCTCGTAAATAATGAAATCTTGTATCAATATGCTTACTTCTATTATGAAATATTGGATTTTTTGTTAATATAATGGCTAATAAATTGTTTACATAAATTTCAATAGGCTTCTCTTGTGTCATTCACAATTCCTTGAGTAATTTTCTTAGTCATATGAAATGACAAATACATGATGTACTAGCTACATATTCAGTTTCACATGTTGACAAAGTGACTATGGATTGTTTAGTTGAACTCCATGTAAATGTTGCATCTCCCATATAGAAAACAAAATTCGTAGTATTCTTTCTATCATCCATACCTCTATTCAAATTAATATCATTATAACCCACAAATTAAAAGCTATTAGAATAACCATAGAATAAGCTAAAATAACCAATACCTTTAATATAGTTAAGAATTTGCTTTAATGTCTAGAAGGTGTCTCTATAAATCAACTTAAAAGTCCTACTCAATTTTTTTTTTTAACGAGTGCATGTCAAATATCTAAAAGTCTAAATAAGCTCTTGAAAGTGTAGAGGTTATCTTCTCTCCTTTATTTGACATTCTTTTTTTTCTTTGTATATCCATTTGACATTTATTGTCTTCTTTCCATTTAGTCTATGAACCAATCTTCATATATCATTCTTTTCAATTGATGTAATTTCTTCATCCATAGCAATTCTCCATTTGACATCCTTTATTACTTCTTCAAATACTATAGGATCACACGTAACAAGGTGACAATATAATATTACTTCATTATCAATTAGATTAGTTATCTTATATAAGTCATCGAGGATCCTTATTTTTCTTAATGGATTTGATGGAGTGTCACTGCTTGAACTTCCACTAGAAAAAGAAGAAGAATTAGAAGAAGGAGAAGTTGAAGAATTAAGGAAAAATTAAGCTCATTGGTGTTTGTAGAGACATAACTACAGGTTCTTAATAATGTTTATATGTTTCATCTTTTTCATCAAGAATTGGTAGGAAGTCATATTTCTCATCATTATCTACCTGCCAATCTTATGTTCATTCTTCATTGAACTCAACATCTCTATTAATCATCATTTTTTCTTCATTAAGGTTGTAAAGTTCATATTTTTTGGATTTTTAATTATAGCCTATGAAAATCATCTTTTTGCTCTTGCCATCTAACTTGATCATCTATATACAAGTAGGAGACACTTAGCTTTCTTCCACTTTATACTTCTTGTGTAGTCATATCATTTATGCCTTTAGTATGACATTTATTTAACAAGTAGATAGCACAATTTACAACTTCAACCCAAAACTCTTTTGGTATCTTTTTGGTTTTGAGCATACTTCTTGCCATGTTAAGGATGCTTCTATTCTTTCTCTTTATCATGTTATTTTGTTATGGCGATTTAGGCAAACACCGTTAGGAGTCTCTTTATACCATAATTGATTAGTACTTAAAAGTGCATTTTTATCAAGGTTTTATATCATCATTTTGCACTTGAAGTATCAATAACTCCTTAACTAAAGCATGTTTTATAATAATATATCTAATAATATAAGATACCTTTAATTTGTGGTAAATGTTCATTTTAAATGCAGGTCTATCATATAAATAAAAGGATTGATTGATGAATTTAAGAACTGAAATTGAAAGGATAAAGAGATGGCTAAACTCTGAAAAGAGATACCGGTGCAGTTCAAACCGAACACTGTTCGGTAATTAGGTCATATCTAGAGTTGTAGATCTCAGATTTAGATCCAATTTGTACGGATGGAAAGGTAAGACATAGACCTACAACTTTCATATGGAGCCCAAGATCTAAAAAGGCCATTTTCAAGTCCAAATTGTAGCAACAAAAAAGAAGCCCGAATCTGTCCTCCAGCCCGAGCACTATTCAGTAGTTTTGCCATATATAGAGTTCTAGAAGTTGAAATGAGCTGAATTGTTTACACAA